CAACAAATATGTATAGAGTTAAGTTTTTGTGTATAGTTTTTATTTGTAACTTTGAAATGGAACTTCTGATGGATCGCACACCGGGCCAGTGAGCTTGAATCGCGCTCTATAAAAATATTATTATTGTTATTGCTGATGTTGTGTGCTGCTTTCCCAGTTATTTCCTCTGCTTCACTGCTGTTGTTGTTGCTGTTGTCATTTGATGTGGCTTTCATTGACTTATCAGGAATCAATGAGACAGCACGATCACCCCACCGCGGCGGCGTTGCCGGTTGCCGGTTTGGCGATTGCGTAGAAGCCGCAATAACTCGTAGATATGTCGGCAAGCATCACATTGAGGCGGCTGGCTGTCCGCATGCAACATTTGGTAGAAAATGTGCAATGTGCGCAAACGCGCGCGCTCATGAATAAAACAAACAATCGTCCGATCGAATGAGTGACTATGCCAGCGTTGAAACGTTGAAGAGATGGACAGCCGCGCTTGGTCGTCTGATGTGTATGTAGCAGGAACCTTCTGGTTATTTTTTGCGCTTCCAAACACCTGACCAAGCCAGTTCGACGTTGAACGTTGTGCGGTCGAATTGTAGGGAAGCCGCTTACAAGCGGCCAAGTTAAACCTGTTGCTTGCTTGCGTTCGGCTGTGTTTTTTTTTTTTTTTGACTTTACTTTACTTTAACCTACCTTGCCAACAAACTTTTTAGCAAATTTATTACACGATTCGAGTCAGCAACTCAACAATAAATTGCTACATTAGAGTTGGGTGCTGCAGCAGCCATTGAGCAGCCGGTGCAATTGCTTGCCTCCAGCCGGCAGCTAGGGTTGCAAAATAGTAGCGGGAAATATAATTTTAGCATAAAAATTCAATAATTCTGATGTAGTATGTATCATTCGCCGACAGACCGGTTGATGTATGTATGTATGTTCTCTGTTCGTCAAATTGCACTGAATGGAGTGTTTCGTCCGTTGGCAGCGCAGCAAAAGATGTCAGGCGGCCACTGCGTGTGTCGCCGCCAAGGTGTTCAACAATTCGCAAATGAATGGGTTTATCGCTTTTTAATAAGTTCACCCAACTACAAGGCGTATGGAATTTTGCAGTTTTTCTCCCCTCACCAGCGCTGCCCTTTTACTTGTCACCAAACCGTCAGCCACTACCTACCAAAAAGGCTGGGGACATGTGTCTTTTGTTTATTGGTTATCGGTTTTTTTCTTGCTCAAATTCAATGTATAGTTTTTGTTGTTGTGCTACAACTACTTGGTCTACTTTGTTGTTGACTTGGTGACAGATGTGCAGCGTTGGCGTGCTGATCGCACTTCCGACTTTGCAACACGCATAAATTTGAAAGTCCTTTAGCTTTTTTTTTTTGAAATGTCTACTGCGGTCTTTTTTCGTATGTATGTACATACGTTTGTATGCTTGTTCCATTGTTCTTTGAGGAGAGAGTTGGTTTTGCGGTTCGCCCATATTTTTAGCGCTTTAGCGATCATTTTGCTTGACCTCACCTTCCGAGAAGTATTAGGTAACTTAGAATTGGTGGGAAATTTGTTTCTCAGGCTCAGCACGTTTATTCTACATTTAGATGTGGTTTTACAGATAAACTAGCGGAGTGGAAAAAAAAGAAATAATTCACGTTAATTCATCGGCAATCATTGATTTCAAAGGGTAAATACACAAATTGCAGCAGCCAGAGATGTGGGAAAATTTTCGTGTTCGGTGTCGCGACTATAGCGTAGAGTTTAGAATGGCACTGGGTTAGAATGGCAGCGAAAAAACTTAAAGCCCAAGTATCTAAGTAGTGTTTGGGTACCATAAACCTCGTTTGACTTTGTTGAAACCCACCAACGCAATAGTGTATCGAACGTGCAACAAATTGCAAAATCTCGTGTCTTGGAATAAAGACTTTCTTGTGTCAATTGAAACCTAAAACTTCAACTAAGAAAAGTTTATAACACAACTTGTGATAAAATAGACATTAGGCCTTATACATACAGCACGTTTAATTACTTCTCTATATTATTAAATGTGCGATATGTACAACACCTCAAATCAAATACAATTTGGGCGCACCACTTCACTTCGATGCTTGACATGTACTATGCTTAACAGTGAACCAAATAAAAACTCGGACGCGAGTTTTGAGCAAGTATTGGCTATTTTCCTTTAGTTTATTTAATAATTATTACTTTGTTTATGAAAGTTAGCTAATTACTTAACAAATATCATATAAATCGAAATTTCGGCGAAATTTTTCGTAATTTTGGCACAAAGTCTAAAAGACCATGTTTTTTTTTGCTGACGTCGTCACTAGGGTTGCCAACATTTTCTGATAATATTTATAGTACTTTTTCAAAAAAATCTGAAAATATATACTATAGTACACTTCAAATATATATAGTAGATATTTTATTTAAAAGAAAAAGTAAAAACGCTTTTTAAGTAATGAAACAAGTTCTTCATGTTAATGCGGAAGTTGCTGGAATAGAGAGTAGAAAAGGAATAATTTTAAGTAAATTCGTTAATTCTTTCTTAGTGTTTTTAAAAATATGTTGTATTTTTTTAAATTATAAACTCACTATGACCTTTTACTTTAAAGAATATTTCATATAATATTGTTATTTCAGTAAAAAGGTCATCCATTTTAATATACACTTTTTCTTGCAAATTACTGAAATATATTTATATTTATAGTTGAAGAAATATAGTATTTTCGCATGTTATATTTTTTTTCCAAAAGTATATAGTACGCCGATAGGAAAAACAGTACAATACTATATATTATAGTACGGTTGGCAACCCTAGACGTCACGCATTTTCTTCCATACAAAATTACTTCATATGTTCGATTTCTTTTGTATGGAAGAAAATAATAACACCGCCGGAAACTGCATACTTGGAATTTTTCCAAAAAAGAGGAGAAACTCCAACTGTAAAAGTAAACAAAAATGGAAGCTAGCCATGAAAAGAGGTTTGTAAAGTTGTTGACTTTCTTCAAATATTCGTAATGTTTTTCAAGCTAATTTTTTGTTTGTTATATGTTTATATAAAAATATCGTCTAATCTGTAACCAAATCCGTGTAAATCACAGTTTCAAACTGTATACAAAATTAAGGAAAATTCAAATCAAAACTTACATTTTTTTAATCCGACATTAATCACACCCACATGCCATATAACGGTAATTTAGAGAAATACGAAATCTTCGATAAATCAGTAAATACTGAAGCTAATTTATTAAAAATTGATGTTTGCAATAAGTCTTTAGAAAGAAATACGTTTATGATAAAATTTTGGAAAACGGGCGTAGAATCGCCCACTTATGACCACATATGTGTATCTCGGTAACCGTTCGATCAATTTGTACCAAACTCCGTATGATTATTGTGCTTGCCACATAAAATCAAAACGCTGAAAATTATTGAAATCGGACTAAAATTACGCCCACTTTTTATGTAACGGTAAATTTCAGAAATGCTTTAAATTTCTATATTTCGAAATTTAATGACGCTAATTTACACAAAATTGATACCAACAACAATCCCTTAAAAAGAAGTAACATTATTATGGAATTTTGGAAAATAGGCGTGCTACCGCCCACATATAACTATATAAGTTTATGGAAGATATTTGAAATAGGAGTAGAATCACCGCTGCTTACCATATAGCGGCATTTTTCGGAAAGGTGAAAAAAAAAACTATATTTAATATTTGCGCCGGGTATCGGGTTCGACTCCGCCCGAACTTAGACTTTTTTACTAGTTTTAATTAAATTCTGGTGGAGGCACTTTTGACCAGTGATGAAATGATTTCGCCCTTTAAATGCCATAAGGGTTCACTAGTAACGTTTTTTTTTCAAAGCTCTGCTAATACCGATTCCAATGTTTGTGTGGTTTTAGTTTCGAAGTTGTGAAGATCAAACAATCACTGTATAACTTAGCGGATATGAGAAGAACACACCTTAAATCAGAAGCTACAGGAGCTGTCCATTCTGATGAAATGCTATTGCTAAAGCTTTCAAGGCATTAATTGATGTCCAATCAAACTTAGTGAGTGCGTTCATCAAATTTTCATACTTACTGATTTTTTTTGTCCATTTCAGAAAGATTTTTGTTTTCGAATTGAAAATTGATTTATTTCTTTACATTAGATCTATTTTCTAAAGAGCTTAAACGAAGTTACAATTATATTTATTATTACAATTTCTTAACTAGGAAGTACTTATTACATTAGTACATACTTGTAACTTTAATTATCGCATTTAATGTGTTTTTGTTTTTTTTTTTCTAAAATAAAATCGAACATACACCAAGTACATATACATATGTAGATTTGGTTATACATATGTACATATGTATGTACATAGCACGTATTATTAAGTACTTTTTATCCGCAACACGAAAGCTATTTTCAAAAATTGTCTGGCAAATTTAAAATTTTCCAAATATAGTAGCTTATAAATTATAAACAATGAAATAAGTTTCTATCTATAAATATAAACCTGTTTTAAGTAAGTAAGTACCGGCACACTGTCGTTTTTGCAAATTCAATAACTAGCATTGTAGTTACGCTAAACCCATTATATATAAATCCGTATTTAGTCGTTACAAGGTGTTGCAACATTAAAAATAAACAAATTGCATTAACATACCAACACAGCTGAGATTACTTTTTAATTAAAGCAATTCATTTTATTAATGCCGCTACACAAAAATCTTTACAAATACATACATAAGTATTTAGTAAATATATAAATATACCCGAGCTGCGGTAGAAATCGATTTTTTCGCTCATCTTAAAATTCTATTAACACATAATCCCACAAGGGCAAGTACAGGCAATTAAAAATATGTATATATTTATTTACATATAGATTTGCACATAGTTTATTTTTTTATTTTTCTAGACTTATAAACTTGAAACTTCGAGAATAGAATTAACGACGATTTACCAATATATGTATGTAGTTGACGAGTTTTGAATTCCCGTATAGACTTGGCTTTTTTTTTATCTATTTGCGTGTGAGTGTGTATGTGTGTCTTTTTACATTGCGTTGCACTTAAATTTAAAACCAGTAAAGATCCTTAGATGACTCTTGTACTTGCGCTTCAAGTCCTGCAAAGAAGAGACAATATATATATTTTTTAAAATAATTAGATACAAATTTAATCAGAGTAGACGTAATAGAATCTTTTAATAACGTCCTCCGAGAAGCGATCGCATGTCACTGCTCCATATTGGGCATGCTCGGCAACTGGTGGACTTTGTCTGTGTTCTCCTAAATCAGAATAATTCGTTCGGGAATGGATGAGGCATATATTACTAGATATGCAACAAGGGACACTCCGCAAGCTGTTCTTTTCCCACCCATTTGAGTCTAACGGTACGCTTATAGGGTGGATGCTGCAACTGCTAAGTACCGACAAATGTTGGACGAGCTATTGCAGAACGCGGTCTGAATGCCAACCCAGTAAAAATAATCACGGCACTCTTTACGAAGCAAACTTATATCCTAACATACATATTTATGTATTTAAATTTGTCTACACTAATCGGTTTGGCACTGTTGCCCTCAAATGCATTAATATATCGGGGCCTAACTGCCAAAAATGGGTGAAAGATTTTTTTTTAATTCTCTTTTTGATGCAGAAATGCATCTAGATACTCTAGGAATATTTCGGCATCAAAAATAAAATATGGAAAAAAAATTCGCTTACACCTTTTTGGTGCTTAGGGGTCGATATGTACTCAGTTGAACAGAAAACTGACTTGACAGCACAACCTTGAGGTACGGACCAGAAAGTCCATTACCCGACGTCTTCGCCACAAAACGGCTACATTCAAGAAATAGCGCTTTAAACCGCCCATAGATCCCTGGATGTATGTACATATATGTACAGCAGTCGTAGGTCCTAACTTATTTTTTGGCATCAGAAATTGGTGGATATCACTGGATACTTATCCCTTACTCATTCTAAACTTACCAAGGTTCAACTTTAAATGTGTTTTTATATCTGCCTCCGCATGACGTTATTGCTTCAGCGGTAGCCATTATTGTAGAATTAAGACTCAGGGAGGCAGGTTTCTGGCCTCATGGTGTATCCGGCCACTCGAAAATCTTAGGAACGATGGCGCCCATACCAATACCTGCCAGTACTGACTACTACTCACCTGGGACGGGACTGGAACAACAAGCTCGTCACATACGAAGAGCTATAAACATGTATACTGATGTCTCCAAACTCGACGGAAAGGTCGGAGGAACCTTGCTCCCAGAGCAGGAAATAAATATATCATTTCGGATTCCAGACCACTTTAGTGTATACTATGCGAAGCTGCTGGCTATTTAGGATGCCCCTCGGCACCTAATAAGAATTCCCAAGAAAAATACGGGTCTTTATCTTCTCTAACAGTCAACCATGACTGGACAAAGCAAGATCTCTCACTGAATGCCGCAGATCTCTAAAGATATAGCCCATACAAAGATACAACTCATATGGGTGCCTATACGGTGTAGTGCTAAGAGTATCCCATAATTTTTACGAAGAACGTGGCAGATAAAGCAATAGCTACTTTTAAACTATGTACATGCTAGGAACAACACCATACAAGGAGCAAACGCTGGGGAAACCTCTTATGACAAAAAACACGCACGAGGTATCCATTCACTCAGGAATTTTTAGAGGTCACTGTCTCATCGGTGCCTTCTAAGAACGATTGGGAAGCATAGCTCGCAGCTATAGAAGAAACTGAACTGTGGCTTATCGACTATTCTCTTAGCCTGTCTTCAGATGCCATCTACTCTGATAGCTAAGCAGCTATGGGGTCAAAAGACTGCTTTGAAGCCTTGTGGATAACACTAAATATTTCCACCCTCATAGTAAGGGTGCCACGACAGACGAGCTTGCGAGGAAGGGAACCTGCGGGCATACCGAAATCTAACTACAAATCATGGCTTTACTTACACTTATTCATCTAAACTCTAGAACGTCCTATACTTAGACACCGGAAATATGGCCGGCTTAATGGACAGGTATTCTAGTAGAAAAGCTTTGCCTGCTAATGCTTTCGTGCTGCCGTCATGAGGACGAAATTGAAAGCATACAACAGTGTTTATATCTCTACCCAATCCTGGCACTTCACCATTACTTCTACCTGAGCGCACACGGCACTATGAAATCTGAAGGTTTTTTAGTACCCATATACATAAGCTGCATTTTTTTTGTAAGCGAGCGACAAAAGAACGCTCAACTCGGGTAAAATTTCCTTTTAGCTACAAGCCGGTAGACGGCAAGAAACATGTGATTAGTTCAACGGGATGTAGACACAAAAAAACAATAGAAATTAGTAATTATGCGAGGTATTTGCGTGATATATATACTTAATTAAAATATATATCATGTACATATATACAAAACTAAAAATTTCCCTCTCCACTTTCCCACTAACAATTCACAATAGAGCATTTTTTTCACTTAACAACACTACTCTTCAGGTCGCGTATGTTTTAACCGACCTGGCTGAACTCGGATAAATAGCCGAGTTTGTATTGTTGCTTTGCGTGTATTTCGTTATTTAAGCGAGTGTTCTTTTGTAGCTCGGTTGCAAAAGAATGGGCCTATAATATAATGTAGCGAGCTCTCAAACTGTACTAAGTCCACTAGGCCTAAGTGTGTCTCTCTACTGTACTGCCATTTCAACCTAGCCTACGTAACTTAGTACAGTCAGTCTTAATCAAATAACGAAACCTACTGCAACTGAAAAACCTAACTAAGAATATATTTAAGAAAAAGCTTTCACTTTAAATAGGAAATTGTACTTATTCCTTATTAAATAAAGCCTTAATTTCATGAAAATTGCTTCAAAATGCTTAAATGTATAAAAAAAAATATTCAATGCGCGCCAGACTTTATTGAATGTTAGTTTTGCTTTAACGCGGCCTATATGCCATTTATGTATACATACATACATATATAGTACGTACTAGTATGTATTTTCTTTATTGGGGTTGTTTATAAAGGAGTGAGCTGCTGGAAAAGTTCTTTTCATTTTACGACAAACAGTGACATTCCAGCTTGGCGGCCATTTTTATTGTTTTATGGCGTTTGTCCTTTCGACCTCACTTGCGGTGACTCGTAAAAGTACAAATTCATATGGACATCCATATACATATATATATGAGTATACCACGTGCACACGTAAATACAGATATACATACATATGTACAAACATGCGTTTGATAAAGCGAAACTTTTGTATGTTTGAATAAATTTTGTGAAGGATGAAACAACCACCACCAAATATTTAAGTTTAACAAACACAGCACCACGCGTAAGACATCCGCAAAAAAGGTGAGGTCTTATACATATGTATGTACATACATACATACATACATATATACATATGTGGGGATACTTTTACGTTTGTTGTGCTCATACATATGTACTATGTATTGTTAATATTTGTCCATGCGGTTTAACGCACATCCTTTTTTCCGCTGCGGAATTTCATTGCCTTGAAAAGGGTCCCCACACGTCGTTTTGAATAATTACAACAGCTGGGGTTGTCATGGCAACCGTACAATTGATGTGCTTACATATGAAAAGGATTCACTTTCATCTGCGCTCGAAGAAAAGCAAAACAAGGTGGGGCGAAGCAAGGTCCAGGTGAATGTATGTATGTACATGCATACTACCTACATTTGTATGTACTAAATTTGCCGTTATCCTCCTACACCCTCATCGTTCACAGTTGACGTATTGGTCGAGTGGTTCGAGGTGCCCACTACCTCCCGTAGAGCCAGGTTCGATCCCAAATCCGAGGAACATTAAAAAAAAAATTTAGAAAAAGTGCTTTATTTTAAAGGTCCATATAGTTGGTGTGTTTTTTTAATCATATGTTATTTGGACAGTGCCAGCTCTTTTCGCGCTGGAAATCTTGACAGAAAGCCAATATCATATCTCTGGGGATGAGAAAGGCCGCACATGATCCACTGAGAGACGGTGTGTTCAGAGAGCTATTCGTGAAATAGAGCCAGAAACTGTCACCAAAGTCTTGGACAACTGGGATCATATGAATAAAATCGCGTTCCATAAATAATAGAAATGTTTGCTCTTTCCAATAAACCCATAATACATATAACCAAATAAATTATTTTTGTATTTTTTTGATATTTTTAAATAGAACCCATTTTTAAAAAGAAAGCCCTATACAATTCCTGAAATGGTAAATACATGGGCGCTGAACCAACGATTTCGTGTTGCAGAACAGTGAAATGATATGTATGTGTGTGTATTAGGGCGGGTCAATTTGAAAATGATTTTTTATTTGCCGTTAACCACATAACTATTCAGTAGTAGCCTTATTTTTTGTAGCTTAACTTGATAACTTTTAACCCCCAAAAATTGTTACAAAGGGTCCTTAAGCAGTGTTTCTTCTGAAGCACGAGCGGTATTCAACGACATTTTTGTGGTAGCCTCCTTCTTTAGAGTTTCTCATGTGGAAAATACAATCAGAAATAAGTTTGTGACGTAGTTTCGTCAAATAAGAATCTTCTCTCTTCGCGAAATTTAAAAATTAAGAAAGGCAAAAAACGAATTTTTAAAGACGAAATTAACGAAAAAGTCAAACCTGTTCAATATTCCTTGCTCCACACAGAAACTTTTGAAAAATTACTATTGAAATTCTGTGCAAATATTTTTTAGAAATTCGAACTCAAACGGCTAAAAAAGGTTTTCTCCTTAACAAAGTTTTATTTTGCTGAAGTGTCGTAAAAAAGACTTTAAATTTTTAATAAAACCAAGCCCAAACACCCTAAAAAATTCCAGAGAGGGTTCCATAATAAAATCGTTAGTATTGAAAAATTATTAAATAAACAGTATTATTATTGGAAGTCTCCTCAAGAGAAACAGAGTTTTCCACCCGAAAATATTGATTTTCAAAAATTCTATACCTTTTCTAAGCAAAAGTGTTTTCCTCCATACAAAATGCATGGGAAACTTCGTAAGCTTTGAAGTAGTTCTAAAGATCTTTTTTTTTAACAAAAAAAAAAATACGGGTATTTTTTCTATGTAGAAAATCCTAGGGGGGAGAGCTTTCCGCCTCCATATATTTTTGTGCCACCCTAATATGCATATGTATAAATAGTACCATTTGTATGTTTTTTTTTTTGTTCGAACTCACCTGCCATTGTGGGGTAACTGGAATAGGCTGCCGCACTTTCGAGCGCATGCGCGGTCTGTTGGTCGTGATGCAGTCTGCAATGAGAAAAAAATGCAATTGCAATTATGTATGTACATACATACATATATAGTATATACAATACTATATTTTATAGGTTTCTATTGGCCTAAGTTGGAACATTTGTAAATGATTACACCCTGCGACAGTAGTAGACACAAAAAATCGATATATTCAAGTAACGCGGCGTCAGGATTTTTTTTAAAAAGACTTTGAAATTTCAAGGGTAAAACAAATTATCTAAAATTTCAGTGCAATTTAGAATACCAAATGAAAGGGGAAAATTCTGTAGAATTGAAAAATTAATGTTTTTGTGAAGAAGGAGGAAGAAGTATTGAAATTTTCTTTTTAAAATTGTATGTCTAAATATCCTAAAAAATTTCCAATAGTTATTTTTGAAAAAAATTCGTATTAAGGGCCGAAAAAATTAATTAGATTTTAAAAATTATATTATTTGTTAACAATTATTTTTAAAATCTACAGAATTTTCTTTTTCATTTGGTAACCATATTGTTATTCTACATTGTAATGAAATTTTGAAATAATTTTATGAATTAATCACATCATTTAAATTTCAAAATTCTGTCAAAAAATCCTGACATCAGAGAAAAAAATAAAAACGGCCCTAGTTTCGTGTGTACGCTGATTTTATTTTTATTCGAAATTTTTTAGTTTTTCTCGCGCGTTGTCATTTTCAAAATTGGTTTCAACTGCTCATATTCAAATTATCTGAAGTCTGATTTATATGGGCTATTCAGGAGAAAGTTATGCTTTTGAGAGAAAGCCATCTTTTCATAAAAGTTGAAACAATCTAATGCTCTTATGCATATTAAAACATATTTTACAAATGTACATACCTGGTACCATGGCTGTATTGCTGTGGCAACCGTAACAGGCTACCGTATTGCGCCATATTGTGATGGTAGGCATGTGCGTGTGCCGCATGCGCATGTGCCGCGTGCGCATAAGAACCATAGTGTGCAGCGGCGGCATGTGGCACCCATGGATCCGTTGCGTAGCCACCGTCCGAGGTGTACAGATCACCAACCTGAAATTATTAGCAAATAACAAAAAAAATATATTAAAAATGTGTAGATACTTATTTATTTAAAGTCGATAGTGTGCACGAATAACTGCATGGATGATAACAAAGCTAAAGATCATATGGATATTTTTTATTGCAGTTGGGGAACAGTATAATCGATTTCGGTGATGTATGTATGTATAAATAGTATATCCGTCACTCACCTGCGGATGTGACGGCGCGTGCACTGGATGCACATAGTTACTGTTCCAAAACGAAGGTGGGAAATTTCTTGCTGACATGGGACTACTCGTTTCTGTAATGAAAAAGAGAAATGGGGGAAAAAAATTAATATATGTAGGTTAATATTGGAAACAATTGAAGTAATTGCTTAAGTAGTTGCTAGTCAAAGCCAATCTCTGTATTAGAATTGTTTTTGTTTTTAAATTGAATCACTATCTTTCTGAATAATCACTTAACCAGTTGACCTTTCAATTCTAACTTTATCTTAACCCCAGAATAGTAACTCCATTTTTATGTCCATAAAAGTAAGGAAACGAAGACCAACTTGCAACAGTTTCCTCATCATAAAGGACCCATAAATTAAGATCTGCGAGATTTGTGACTTTATGTCCTTAGCTCAAAGATCCTACAAGCGGTGTACGTTCTCTGCCCATGCCTGCTCATGAGTATGACATCTACGAAGTTAAACTATTTCTGATATGTGCATACATAATATTTGTACCATCTATCCGAATCATCCTCAGGGTGTCTGGTTTGTATTTCCCTGCATGATGTTTTTTTCTGGATTTACACTAATTAAGCCCAACCTTGGTAAACCAATAAAAGTTTATATTCAGACCTAATTAGATTTTACCGCGTATGGTACTATCGATAACTAGATATGTTCCATAGTAGTGGGGATAATAATCCATCATGTGTGGGCAGCACGTTTTTTGTTCTCGGCTAACAAATCCTTGCTTTCCAAAAACTTTCTAATTATGACCACAATAATTTGATGTGCGACCATCTCTGGAATTTAATCTGTAGTTCCACTCTTTGGGATCTTAGCGCGTTGGGGACGGCGAATACCGCAGGAGCGATGGGCTTTACAACGATGTAGACATATCGGATTAAAAAAATATCAAACACTGATCGCAATGCTGGTAATAGAGGAGGAAGAAGGCCTTATCTGCGATAGAAAGACCAGATGGAGAAGGACTCGACATCACTTGATACTTCAAATTGGCGTCAGTTGGCACAGAAAAGAAACGACTTGCTGTTTTGGACTCGTCCAGAATCGCTTAGGCGCTAACAGTGCCAATCAAGAAGTATGCAGGCGAAGAAAAGCTGTATTAGAAGGCTAGAAACTTTGGCGCTCCCATTCCAAAAAAAAAAAAAAGAATCGAGCACGAAAGACCTGTCGCTGCAAAAAAATCAGGATTAAAGGCTAAAAAAGCCAAAGCTAAATATTTAAATGCCAAAGAAGAAAAAAATCAACCTATTTTTAGACAAATTCTAAATACTTCAATAACCATAAATTCCAATATCTTTATAACCTTACTTCCACAAAGATTTTTATGGACTCATTGACTTCAGCTGTTTCCCATTCTCATGCACGCACTTTCCCGCCACCCAACTCCCGCACAATTACCAACTTAACCACCACCCGCCTGCTGGCTGGAGCCGCAGCTGCTATCTCCACTGATTACCGCACGTAATTGTAAATATTTTGTGGCATTCGCAGTTTCAATTGGTTGGCATTGAGGAATTGAAAGTGAATTTAAATGATGCCTACTTTTGCCTACATACACGTCTGACTTTCGGTGTAAATGCTGCTGCTGCTGCTACTTCTGCAGTTGCTGTTGCTGTTGCTGTTGGTGATGTGGCTGCCGCCGTCGCCGCCCCTAACACGGCATGATGGAGACATCTTGGCGCACGTATGCGGTTGTTGTTTGTCGTTATGGATTCGTAGAGTTGGTTTGGCTTGTTGCTTCTGCTTTGTTTTTTTTTTTCACTCCTTACTTCGCGGTGTTTTTGGTGCTTGTTGCCTCGATTGTTGGTTTAGCTGTGTGTTAAAGTGCCTCGATTGTGTTGGTATTAATGGGAATTCCTTAGCGTCATTTCGTATGCACAACGGCGAGCTGACGACAGTCTGCTCAGCTGACTGGAGGCTGGTTGCATCTTTGGCTAACTGGGGCAGACTGGAGCTAGCTTTATTGCTATTGCAAACAAGGAGTTGGGTGTGTATTTGCTTTTGGTTTTTTTTTTTTTTGTGATCCAGTGTGCCGTGGAGTACAGTTGTATGCCTAGTAAATATGCACTTTTATATTATTCTTTGTTTGTTTGTTGGTATGCATGTCTGCAGCTGTGACTGATTTTGGCAGTGCTGGCTGGAGCCACTGTGGCACGCGGCATTTGAGCGTAAGCAGGCGAAACGCAGCGTCAGCAAGTTTTTGCCTTTTGTAACGCTCAGCAACAGCGCAGCGTTAGTATGTAGGCATGTGTGGTGTATCAAAACATATGTATGTAGAGACGCTGAAAGAGTGCAAACAAATAGATACGATTCCCGCTCTAAATTGAGTTCGGAATGTTGTCGTCAGACATGGAATCAAACTCATCCGCGTCGCCACCACCATCGGCAGCAAAAGCCAGATCAACAGCAACAGCCGCTTCAGCTTGTGCAACATTATCGTCCGCCAATTCCAAATCTAACTAGATACATATTTGTTGGTTGGCGGCGTCCCAGTGCAGCAGCAGCACGTTTAACGTGCGACAATACAAAATTCCGGCTGTTGCATTCCATAGCAGCACTCTTCAAGTGTCGAGTAGCGCTTTCTGTTATGAGCTCTATTTTTGGTAGTAGTTAAACTTCAGGAGGCTTACGGCTGCTTTATCGTTCAAATGCGCTTAATGAATCAACTTAATAAAGAAATAAACACTTCAAATAAAATAAGCATAACTTTATTTAGCATTTATGTTTATGTATACTTTACATACATTTACATATTAATATGTATGTATGTGTACATTAGACCATACCAGCTTAAAAGCAAATTGAAATAGTTGGCCGTACACCCCTCATGTTGAAGTATTTTCGCAAGGCAATTTCGAAACACAAATATGTTTGGCTGAACCCAGAGGTCGCCGTCTTACATATTTTGGTGACGCCTACATTAGGCAATCATTTTTTGAAGTGAAAATTCTTTAGCGGCGGTTGGTTGGTTGGGAGTAAATTTGAATTAGCCAATTGAATTAGGAAATTGAACACGGAAATGGTGCAACGGAAATGGTTGAGACGGAAACAAGTACTTCTTGAAAAATACCTATACGTACATAGATAAAGAAAAGGATAAAGGCAAAGGTAAATATAAAAATAAAAATAAAAACAAAAACAAAGATGCGTAAAGATAAAGGCAAAAATGAAGACCAAGTTCAATTTAGACACTTTATTTATATAAGGTCAAAGGTGGAGGGGAATATGTAGATGAAGAAAATGATAAACATAAAAGTATAAACAGAGATAAATATAAGGAAAAAGATGAGCATGAGGATACAGATAAAAGTAAAGATGAAGATAGAAGAAGAAAGATTAAAATAAAGGTAATTATGTAGAAAAAGATATAGATACACAGAGCCTCAATCTGGGAACTATTTTGGGATTTTAAAGATTTTCGTGATTCCCGGGACTTATCGACATAATAATCGATATTATCTATTTTTTCATCGATTATTTATCGATTTTGTTATCGATTACTTATCGATACTTTATCGATTACTTATAGATTTTTTAAAGATTTTGTTATCGATTATTTATCGATCTTTTTATCGATTTTGTTATCGACTATTTATTGGTTTTGTTAATGATTTCGTTATCGATTATTTTTCGATCTTGTTATCGATTTTGTTATCGCTATTTTTATCGATTTTCTTATCGCTATTTTTATCGATTTGGCCATCGAAATTTTTATCAAATTAGTCATCGATTTTGTTATCGATATTTTTATCAGTTTTGTTATCGATATTTTGTTAGATGGTTACTATCGATTTTATTATCGATAGAGTATAAAGATAAAGGAAATCATAAATGTACATAATTAGAACGAACAGGGGTAGAGGTAGGATCTAGATAGAAAAAAGACTAAAAGTATAATCTTAAGCAAAAGCAGATGTTCATATGTATGTACGTACATATGTATGTATATTGGTTATGAGACAAAATAGATACATAATGTAAGTTTCACTTCTCCAATGTGGCCGAGGCGCATTTACTTTTTTTTAAACAGTTTTACTAGAATAATAAAATTACTTCCTGAGCAAAAGTTTAATGAGTTTTGGTGAGCTTTAATTTACTGGCATTAGGGTGGTATGTTAGGATACTTGAGTCCAATGATCTGTAGAACAAAAAATTGTCTTCGAATCGAAATGCACGCTTCCTTAGCAATAGTTTAATTTTTTGTGGACTTTAATTAAGTGACATTAGGGTGATACGTCAGGATGACAGAAACTGAGAGCTGCTGGATAACTATTATATACCCAAAAATTGGCTCCTCGATACAAGAACATCGATATAGCATACTTAAAATCCGACTGTTAATGCCGAAGATATGACAAAAAATGAAAAAAAAATTGTTTTACCAAATTGCCTTGCAAAAGTACTTAGAATAGGGGAAGTATGGCGAACTTTTTTTCTGGTACGGTCTAATGTACACATATACATACATTAAAGTAGTATATTGGTTTATTTACTCGTATTATTAAGTACTTTAGCAAATGTTATAAATGTTTTTTTTTCTTATAGTTTTCTTTCTTCAAGTTCTCTTTTTTAATGAACGTGTTGATCCTGAACATGCTTGCTGCGAATTCCTGTTAATCACAAAGCGCGCAACCGCCTTATGTGCAACAAGGCGTGGCGCCATGCCGTTAAGTGACACATTTCATTGCAAATTTGTGAAGTGGGTATATTTATATATGCACACGTACATACTCACATACACATTTTGCAATTGGGCATAAATTTCAACAGAAATTAGTGTATGAGAATAGGCGCAGATGCCGACCATTGCGCATGAGGAAAATTTATTAAAACAGGGGAAAATATATGTAGATAGGATGTATTATGTTATTATTATTATTTCAAAGCCTTGGTAGTACTAGAAGGGAATTGTCCATTATGAACTGCTAAAACGGGGCGAAACGATCAATCATCAAGACAATGGGAACAACTGGACGGAACTTGGTTGGGAAGTTGTATGGCATCCTTGGCCTTCCAAAACTCTTTTGATGGTAAAAATTGGCCTATCGAAGAGCCACTGA